AGAAGTGGAGGAGTAGAAGAGGAGAAGGAGGAGGAGAAAGAAGACACTAAGTAATAATGAAAATACAGACGTGGAAAAACTGAAAGTCACTGTTGGTTGCAGCACAAAGTAACAATGACACAGGTGTTAGAAATCTGTTTGGCACTCGGGAGGCTGAGGCAGGAGGATCATTTTGAGTTCGAGGCCAGCCTAAGCTACAAAGTGAGCTCAAGGCCAACCTGAACTTCACAGCGAGACCCTGTCTCAAAAAAAGACAAAAAAAAAAAAAAAAAGAAGAAATCTTCAGTAGTTTCTTATACACAGACACTTACAGTTTGAGCCAGCAATTCCTTCTTTGCCATTATCTGAATAATATAAAATCTTTCATTCATGCGTAAACTGTCACACTAGCTGCAATTTTATTTTTAATACTCCCAAACTGGAAACAATCCCCCATATTCTTTAACTGGGGAATGGATAAACTGTGGCACGATCATACAATGGAATACTGCTAAGCAAAAAGAATCATCTAGTGATACACACAACATGGATAAATCTCAAAAGAATCTGAAAGTGAAAGAAGCCAAACTCAGAAGGCTACACATCAAATGATTCTATTTCCATACAGCACTCTTGAGAGGAAGGGACTATAGATGGGCACCAGGAAGTGCTCTGGGATTCTCATAAACTGTAAAAGAAGCTCTCAAGAACACTTGAGAGGTATGATTTGCAGAGCAGGAAAATGCTGTGGGCAGTCAGCGGGCGACAGTAGTTTAAATATCAACAATGTGTCTTTCAGTCAGGGACTAGGCCAGAGATGAAGGCAAACTCCCATCAGTTAACTGGCATTATTTTCTTCCCCTGTGGGAGGAACAGAACTCAATGGATGATTTGTCTAACCTGCTGCCAGGTTATCCACCAAATTTATTACCAAAATCTAATGAAGTCTGAAAGTGATCATCTTTTATTTTCTATGTTTTGACTATTTTTGTCTCCAGTAACTCTACATTTCCACATTGATCTGTCCTAGTCTTCATAATTAGATATTATTACGTCTGTATACGAGTTGGCAGTTAACTCATATTAAAGAAATAACAACTATAACTCTGTTTAATCTCTAAAATGTACTGTTAAAACTAATGTTAAAATTATTTAAAAATATCAAATCTCTCCTATGGCAAAAAAATCACACAACAGTAGGAAAAATATATATTTCAAATACTTCCACAAAGTTAGAAACATACTTTTCATAGTGAGAATAAAACATTATTTAGTATTAATAAATATGTTATAATTCAGTTAAGAATAAAGAAAAAGCAAACTGTCAACTACTACCTCAAAATAATTATTTCTTTCATAACAAGAAAACACTAAGTTTAAAAGAGGGCTCTTTCAAGTCAAAATTATTAATAAAGCCAGGTGTGGTGATATCCCCCTGCAATCCCAGCACTCTTCAAGGCAGAGGTAAGGGGATTCCAAGTTTGAGCTCAGCCTGAGCAACTCACAAACTTAGCAAGACCCGTGTTGAAAATAAAAAAGGGCTGGGGGTGTAACTCAGTGTAGGGCCCCAGGTTCAATCCTCAGTACCACTAAATAAATAAGTGTATGTATGTATGTGTATATACAAATACAAATTTATGTATGTATATATATACACATGCATACATATATAAACTATTTCCTTAATATCAACTTTCAGTTTATAGAAACTTTAGATGGGTTCCGCAGATACTACTATTCCCATAGCATCACTCTTTTCCCTTTCACATCCTGATCCTAGTGAACAGTTGTAGCTCCATTACACGCTCCTCCCAGTGTCCCTTAAAAAGCAGGTGGTAAAAATTGAGTCCTCAGTGGTCAGGTAGTTGCACATTCATGGATCCCTGACACCACCATACCGCACATTGTTCGTGGTTAAGAATGGCAAACAAAATTCACACTTAAAACATGGAGTCACTTTAGTTTGGTTTAGACCTTAATTCTCTCTCCCATCTATTTTGCTCCTCGAAATTTTATTGAACAAGGATTTCTTATTTCATAGAGATACCCAGGTCAAAAGTTGCTGTCCCTCAATCTAGAACTTGTGCCATCCTCTTGTATGACATTAAACTCCTCTTATACATTCTAATAAATACTATCTGGAGCTACAAACAGTTGACTCAGATGCAATTTATGGGGAAACAATACCTCACAGACATTTTTATCATGGTAACAATATACAAAGCTGGTATATTCTATCTTCCTTCACCTAAAGAACAAATTTCTCATTTCTTGGTTACTTTAAATTCAAGTAAGCAAACTTTTCATTAAGGGAATGTTTAACCCAACACCAGATTCTTTACCATTTTTCATAATAAAATGGTTCCCTAGTGTTGTTCAAAGATGAGAAATGAAGATTTTTTGACATGTTTTATTGTGAATTTAGTGCATCATATATTTTTATCCAGATTGGCTATTAACGTTATTTTTCCACTGTTGAAATCATACAAACTTCAGCCAGTGTTAAGTTTCTGTTAAGTGGGTTCCTTAAATTGCCTGCTGGATCCTTTTGACATAGCTGGTAGCCTTTGTTATCTTCCTTACTTTAGGGTATGGAATGATGACTAAGTACATCTCCTGCTCAGATCTGGAATCAATCATTTTTCTAAAGCTTCCAGGTTCTTTTGAATGAATAAACAAGGTGGGGATAAGGGGTGCTTGTTGATAATGGGTTAGTCACTTATCACAGGCCATTTTATTTGATAGAGCTAAGAAAAATGTACTTTTGGGGTAAAACGCATAAGGTTATATATTTGTTATTTTCAATCATGAATTCAGGGTAAAATGTGTTTTACTTTTATACCTATTTCTACTTTCCCCCCTGTAGGAAATATCATTTTTTCCTAATACCAAAATAAACGTTATGAAAGAAGGAAAACATGGAAACAAAGCTTTGTAAATGGTAAGGAGAGGAGGGACTGAAGGGAGGTTAGGGGAGTGGGAAAAAAAGAAACATTTCATCATGCACAGGAACAAGTTCTCTATGATGAATGTGATTGTATACATATCTAAAACGGACCAATCAAATCTAATTAAAAAAAAAAACAAACAAACCTAGCTAAAGGCCGACATGTCCATGAATCAGATGGACAGGATACAGAAGGGGCTTAGTCACTGCAAGAGTCTCCAGGAAATACTCACTGCAGAAGACGCAGCTCATTTTGTTTTGTAAAGATAACTGAGCTGTCCAAAGTCACTAACTAACAAATAATAATAAAAAAAATGCCTTGTATTTGGTCCCTTCTTTAAATTAATGATTTGCAGTCAGGCATGGTGGCACTCACCTGCAATCCCAGCACTTGGAAGGCTGAAACAGGAGGATCACTGAGAGTTCAAGGCCAGTCTGGGCTATAAAGTGAATTCAAGGCCAGCCCCTACATAATGGAACCATCTCAAAAACGCAAAAAGAAAAAAAAACCCCAAAAAACTTTCCTTTTATCTCCTGTAGGTTTCATTATTTCAGGAAATGTACTTATGTTCTTATTTGTATAATACCTGATAACAGAAGATTCCAAATTTTATGACCTCATGGTCTTTTTCCATATAGGTTTTGTGAATTACCATTCTGAATAAACTCAAGCACAACTGCAATACATGTAAATTTCTTGGGACAGATCTTCATGAGTTCTACATTCTCATACTTACCCTGTTATCCAAGACCGAAGAGGGTAGACACAATTTCTAAGGTAGATGCACCCTCCATATATCTGTATCTATGTATCTCACTGTATACATATAAAATCACCAGTACAGCAAAATGAAATGAGAGTGACACAATTCAGAAAAATGTGTATTGTACTTCCTGATATTCAGATTAAAATGGAAAACAGTCCACAGTTGATGCTGCCTACAGCTTTATGCCCCATTACCTCAAAGGCTCGCAATCTAAATTCTAAGCTCTGAGGATACAGGAAAATTCTCTGATGTGCACCTATGTCTCCTCCCACTTTTATTCCCCAACAGTGTCAGACAGAAATGAAACTCTGGGTAGCCAGCACACAAGCCAAAACAAATCACCTCAGTGTTGTCTGAGTGTGTTGAACATACTGACACTTCACGATCCAGGGGATCAATTCTGACTAAGATAGACACAAAACTTGAGTAAACAGTGATGTGTACTTAGCATAGTCATAATCATACTGATATGAGCTATTAGCTTCCCAAAGTCACAGTGAGCTGAATCCTCTGGTGTACAAGAAAGATGAAGAACATGGTAAAACTTCAAAAACACCTTGGTTCTCTGCCTCCCCTTTCAAATATCTGATGCAGATAAAGCAGAAATGTTGTTCACATAATGTCAATTAAGCATGTTCAAATAGTGAGCAGAGGGGACAAGTGGGTAATTTTTGCAGTTGATTTGCTATGGTGTCCTTTCTGCATAGATCTTCTCATCACTCCAAATGAATGATGGGTTTTAGACTGGAAGGTGGATTCTTTTCTTCTTGTTCACAGGGGTCCCAAGCAATTCTGCTGTTCTCTTGGGTGCTCTCTCTGGGGAGCGTAAAATCTCACAAGGCAGATCTTGTGGATATCAACAGAAGAGGCCTGAGAGTGCTCATAGATCACAGCCTATCTTGAAGGCACAGATTGAGAGTCCCAGGTGTAACTCACATAAGCTGTTTGATCATGAGAAAGGTCTTATCTTAGTTTCCCTCACAGGGGATGGGAGGATAAGGTTAGACCTGTACAATGTGGCCCAAATGCGGGGATTCATGTTAGAGGTCCAAGTGATGAGGGAGGAAGCAACAAAGTACAGCTCGGTAGAAAAGAGACTAGGAAGATGCTCCACTGTAACTACTAGACACACTGAATACCCTAGGTGTTTTAAATCTCAAAATTTTATATTCAAATATGTAATTTAAAAGTGCTTAGTAGAACCGCCCCTGTCTGCACAGACCTTATATTTCTTCTACTAAAGCAAAATACAAGAAGATTGAAGTCTCAATATATGTAATACAATGAAGGGGAAGGAATGAATTTACCTCCTCTCACAAATCCATTAGTAGCTATCGCTGAAGTAGACAGTCCTGTAATAGTTGTCACAACAGTGGCCATCGCTATCACAACAACCGACAGACCTTTAATGAGAAAGAAGAGGAACTGAGAACACTCACACTCTTATTCAAACCCGGCACTACAGACAGCATGCTGGTCTAAGTATTTTGAAGGTGCACTATAACTTACCAAATCTTGACCCTATTTTTGAAAAGTCAAATCAGAATTATGAAAAAGTAACATTAAAATAATAATCTAGGTTAAGCAAGGAAAACATTACTTAGAATGACTCCAACTATTTTGACTTTTATGAAGGTGAGACCTCAGAAAGCCATAGTTGTTACACTTACCCATTATACTCAAATCAAAAAGTATGTAACTTCACTTACCGATTCCAGCTTGGCCCACAATCCATGACAATCGAATAAACAGCATCACACCCCAGATGTTTAACATACAACGTACCTAAAAAGGAAAAAAAGGCCAAGACACAGATGAGAAAACAAACATAATAGTAAACACTAAGCCAGTCAAAAATAAGAATGTGTGGTGGCCCAGCACTTGGTAGGCTGAGGCAGGAGGAGTGTAACGAGTGTGAAGCCAGCCTGGACTATACAGAGCGTTCAAGGTCAGCTTCAACTACATAGTGAGACCCTGTCTCAAAAAAAGAATGCAAGCAAGTCTATAAAAGATATAGTTTTAAGATGTTCACGATGGGGCTGTTATCTGTATGTCTTGCTGCCTGGTGGCTTGACATGACTGTTTTATCAGTTGGCTTCTTATTAACTTTGTTAGTAAAAAGACTGATGAAAGTGATTAGACCTGTTTGTACCACCAGTGGTACAAGCCCACCAAAGGAACAGTCATGTATGCATCACCTGTGGTTCAACCTGGAGGGAACATGTTCAAATCTAACTCCTATTTTGAACAATTTGCAGAAAGGGCTTAGGTAGGCTTTATTGCTAAGTACAGTGTAACATATAAGTGCATGTGTATAAGTAAATGTGTTCATCCCAACTATCAGAAGTAGCAGAAGTAACACAGTAAGTAGAACAAATATTTTAAGATTTTCACTATTTCAAATTATTATGTCTAATAATCTCATTCCTTAGATATGTAATAAATTTTCTGTGTTCTTATTCCTGTTTAAAAAATAATTTAAAATTTTTTGTAAAAATTTCCTTAGTTTAATCAAAGATAATCTGGTCCAGTTAGTAAACATATCATATCTCCTCTATTGAACTTAGTATCAAAAGCCAAAAGAAGAAAAGTTAATAATTGGGTCTTCCTTAGTACTCAGATAAAATAGGTATAACATGGGGTGGGGGGATTCTTGAGAACTGATGAGTGTATTAGGCAGGTTTTATAATCAACAAAAATGCTGTAACACTCGAAGTAAGTCTCTGTATACATACCAGTACACCCTTGATCCAGCCAAACTTCACAACTCCTTTACTCTCTGCAGTGTATGTGACCACAGCATCTCTGGTAGGAGTACTTTCTTCCCCATTTGCAAAGCCATCCTCAAAAGGTTCCTGGTTAGGGAAAGGTATGTGAATTATGTTTAATAATTATTTAAAATTCCTCAATAAAAACAACCATAATTGAATATACTTAACCACGCTCATGAGGACATACTCTGGATACCCCAGAACCAACTGGTCTGATTCGGATACAGTTCTTTTCCCCAGCAAAAGTTCATGTGTTCAGAGTCTGGTCCCCAGGGCTGAGAACCGGGAGGTGTGGAACCTTTAAAACATGGAGTCTAGAGAGCAGTGCCCTAGATCACAGGAAGAGTTATCACAGAAAGAGAATAGTAGTCTCCCGAGCGACTTCTCCAGAGCCTCATGGGTTCCTGTCGGGTGATGTGATGTGAGCTCCCTCATAGGCTCCAACCACAGAAATCTGCCACGTGTAGCACAGCCAAGGGGAAGCCCCTTGTCGGAGCCCATCCCACTGTTGTTTGGATTTTTGGCACCCAAAACTGTGGGCCAGGTAAACTTTTCTTCTCAAGTAGCTTGCCTTGGGTATTACATTTTAGTAATACAAAAACTACCTAATATATAAATGTTCTTGAAAATTTTACTTGAGGAAAATATAAAGAAATAAAGTAGAAAACTTAATTACTAAGATTTCTTTAAATCTCATCAGGACAGTAAACTCATCTTAATAAATTCAAATCTTACATTTTGTTGATGTCTCGAGTGTACAGTGACTATTATCTGCCAAGTCTAGATAAGCTATATAAGTCAATCAATTCAGAATTTTTCCCTCAGATTCAAGCATGAACTGATTGACACAAACCATTTTCACAACTAGTGCTTCCTTCCTAGGTAAAGCTGAATGTCCAATTCTGTACTTCTTAGCTTTTTGTTTGCTACCTTCTCTTTCTTGGTTATTCTCAATTTTTGTTCAGTCCCATGGCATCTGATACATTTCCACATCAGTAACATAGTCTTAAGAACAACAACAAAGGGGCAGGGAAATGACTTGGAAAATAAGAGATGGTTCAGATCTGTAACAGTGTCCCTAACACTAGCCTCATGGTTCTTCCTCTACCTATATTTTCAACTGCACAGGAAAAATTACAGCGATAGTTTGAACATTCTTTAATGTAGAAGAGCTAATCAAATTTATCTTTCCAAGCAATTTCAGTGTTTTATGCCCATAAGTAAATTCTGAATATAAATGAACTGTAAAAAGTTTTGTGTTACCACAAAGCAAAATATACGTGATATTCCAAACATCTCTTTGCCTTTAGGCTGCCTATTGTTATTTCTCTTTTTGCTTAGAAGCTAGTATGAACATGGTAGAGAAGTACCATTAAACTTGTAAGTATGTAAAATAGTTTTCCAGAAAGTGACCAGGAGTCTGTATAGCTCAATCACAAGAACAACCTATTTTGGCTTTACTTTCACCATTGAGAGTCAGTGATGATCACAAATAGTAAAAAAAAACTCCTCATAAGGATGGATGACTTAATTCAAATTAATCATTTCAGTTATTCAGTTCCATTATTCAAATAAAAGTTTGCCTATTAAGTCAGTTAATTTTAAAATAGAAAAGTTTTTCAGTTTTCCTGCAGTTATTTTATCAAGGACTTTAAAATATTATATAACTTCCAAGTATTATAAGGAAGTGTCTATAATGTACACAGAATACAGTTAAGACAGACCAGGGCCATCATCCTAGACTCATTCCCACTCTCATGTTACATGTTCTTTCTATAGTTATGTTGCCAGCGTATATCTTTAAACTCCACCTAGACACAAGTCAAGTTACTACTTGGGGTTCATTTCAAGATCGGACCACCCCTCTAAGTTTCAGTTCTATATGTAAACACTGAATGTTTCAGTATGTTCACTATTCTAGCCCTTACCAAAAGAAAAAGGAAATGATCAACGTGCTAGAAACACTGTTTTTATACACGGAAAGGAGAAAAAAAATCCGTCTTTACTTTTTGGATATAATTTTTAAATTCCTGAACATTTCAGCAAACACTTATAACTGTCAAAATGTATTTAAGGCCAGAAAGATGGTAAGATTTAAATCCTTTATAAAGTTATACAATGTAAATGTATTTTAGATTTATTTCTGGATTCATATGTCTTAGAAATTCCTCATCTTTTTTCAGTTTCCAATATCCAAACATTAACTTGCCTTTTCATTTACAAATTTATCTTTTAAATACTAATGGTCTTATCTCAATTGTGCTACCTAAGAAAAACACCTTTTAACATGTTGACTTGGTTAAATGCTTTTCAGTAAAAAAACTATTACAATATCAAGCTATTGATCTTTCCCAAATACTATCAGTTATTCACTAAAAAGGGACAACCAATACTAAAACCTAAAATATTAAATAAATACTAAAAAAACCTAAAATACTACATATTAAAAAAAAAGGATATAAATTAAGCTTTAGGATAAAATATCATCCAAGTTTTTTTTAAAGTAACAATGAAAAACCTTAATATGGTTTTAACTAGCTCTGTAACATGAAGTGTAGAACTGCCTGCAGTGTAGACCTTTATCTGTGCACACCAACATGTGTATCTCACTTCTAAATGTGTTAAGTATGCATTACATTAAAATGGTACATGGGCTGGGGATATAGCTCAGTGGCATAAGTGCCTGCCTGGCAAGTACAAGGTCCTGAGTTCCATTTCTGGTACCAAAAAAAAAAAAAAAAAATTAAAAAAATAAATAAAATGGTACAGTTCTTTTTCTTTGGACACCCCAAATACTAAGTCCACTATTTTCATCCAAAGAATGCTCTTTAGGTTATCATAGACAGGGATGGTAATATCCAGGAAAGATGATTTGTGTACCCATCAAAATTCTGATCATGTAATTTTTTTCCAGAGTAGACTGACAAAAGTTTTTTCAGTGTGTGAAATAAAACCAAGATTGTTTAAACAGTGAACTTCTCAGTAGAATGCAAAAACTAATGAAACATTTCGGTAATGTTTATTACTAATGTATTCAAGCTTAGTACACTTACTCTGTTTTAAAGTAGACTGCTAAAGGCTTGGTAAAAGTATCTTTAGACAGTGATTGTAGACATAATATACAAAGACAGTAACCGACACATTTTTGGGTATTTTTTTGTTACTGTTGTTTTTAAATTTGGGAAAAGGATATCTGAATTTCTGTTTTGTTGGTATTTTAAAGGACAACTGAGCAAAGCTGTACCAAAGTGTCTCTTCAGGTCTGTCTAGGCTGCTACAATACTGTCTCCAAGGATACTTAAGGATGCCCAAATAGCAACACCCTTTAACACAGAGATGCTCCAATCCCTTAAGTATATTTAATATATAAAACAGTTCAAAATTACTTGTGGTGCACTTTTATTATTTGAAGATCCTGCATTTCTAAAAGCTGTTTCCAGACATAAACTTGAATCACATCTCTTCACTCATTCATTAAACAAGTATTGATTAACCCATTTTAATCAAGCATTGTGTTAGGCACTTTTAAAGTGGCTATTTTCTTACTATAGGTTAGACACAGGTGAAAGGCAAGTTGGGACTGAAATTTTATTTTATAGATCAAGTTATTTTCTATTGTGCAAAGCAACTTCTATTGAAATTGAATGCTCAATCCAGTCAATGGAAAGAGCTGCTTGACTTTTCAACAATACACCACTTTACAAGTTTCAGATCCAGAGAATCAGTTTCCTCATATATAAACGGAGATAATCCCTGCTAACCAATATCATTTCTGTGGAGGTCTTGAGTATTATTGCAGTAAAACATCCATTTAAAGCAGCTGAAGCTGCTAGCTCTTAGATAATAAACTGATAAAGCTGGATTATAAAACCACAATCTAAATTTAAGTGCCATATCACACCTGGAAGGTGAGAGTGTGACTCACTTATAGGTATGTATTTCAAAAGAATTAGTGAGAACCTTATTCTCAGGCAGCCTGGCTGTTCTATTCCTGGCCACTTTTCATTTGACTTCATGAGAACAAGGGCAGCCCTTTATATGGGATTGCACATGAAACTCAGTGCCTGGGCCATGTGCTCCTGTAGCACCTGTTGAGGACTAAGGCAGGACCAGTCAGCATCCTGAATGCCTCCTGTAGCTGAGAACCTTTCCTTTTGGAACCTCCAAATGAGTATCTGAGATACATGTAGTATGAAATCTTGATCATGTTTTATGGGCCAGATGCAAGTCTGCTTTTATGGAAAGGCCCTTTTACTTAAGGGGAACAAAACTGATTTTTAGCATCACCTCTGGAAAGTGATTCTTACACTTACACAGTCAACAGGAAGGCCATATAAGGTATTAACTTACAAAAAATAGGAAAACAGGAACGATTATTTATTAACCATGAAGAAAAGCTGAAAAAGAAGAAAGTTGGATATTCCAACTTACGTGTTTCAGTAAGAGGAAAATTACAAGTACGATACTGGAAAGCATCTAAGTGCTGTTTTCCTGATGTCACAAAGTGAGCCAAACATTCACTTACCTGGCAAAATGAAAACTAAAGAATTACATTGAAAAGAATTCCTCGTATTTTAATCTATGAAATAAAATTTAAATCCCAATCACAACCGATGCCTCTTTTCACACAGTAAGTCAAACTTAGCAAATAACTGAAAGCACAGAAAAGAAACAAACAGAAAGAATGGAGGGACGGGAGAAACACCGCTATGAAGTTTTTTATTCATTTAACAGTATTTACTCAGACGATGGTTCTATATACTGAGTAGCAGGAATAGCAGAAAATATAGAAATTTTCAGATATAAAATTGTTTACCCTATTCAGGTTACCCCGTTTCAAAACATCTGCTCAGTCTATATTATCTAAATACTAAAAACTTTTGGTAACTATAGCCACCAAAATAGTCCCAAGTCCAATAAATACATCACACATAAAACCAAAACAATAGTTCTTTCTAGGAGTTAAGTTTTAAATTCTACCCCAAATTATAACATCTTTGCTAAAGGAAAGACAAATGGAAAGGCCTATGTAGAAGAGTTCAACCAGCTGCCTTTCTTAATATACACCCTATTCTCATTTGCTT